CTTTTTTCCCCTCAGTTTTTTAAACTGAGACTTTATTTTCTTGGGTTCCAAAACCACTGCAGATGGTGACTGCAGCCATGAAATTAAAAGATGCTTGCTCCTTGGAAGAAAAGCTATGACCAACCTAAGCAGCATATTAAAAAGCAGAGATATTACTTTGCCAACAAAGGTCTGTCTAGTCAAAGCTATGGTTTTTCCAGTAGACATGTATGTCAGAGTCAGACCATAAAGAAGGCTGAGCACCAAAGAACTGATGCTTTTGAACTATGGTCTTGGAAAAGACTCTTAAGAGTCCCTTGGTCTGCAAGGAGATCAAACCAGTCAATTGTAAAGGAAATCAGTCTTGAATATTCATTGGAAGGACTGATGCTAAAGCTGAAGCTCAATACTTTGGCCACCTGATGCAGAGCCGGCTCATTAGAAGAGATCCTGGAAGCGTGAGGAAGAGAAGGCGACGGCGATTGTGGTGACTGAGCGGAGCCCAGTGACAGGATGTTAAAGGGCCATCATTGGCGGCCAAGAGAAGTTTGGGAAGCTTTACCTCATTGTACATCGGATTGCCCCGGACCAGCCCATCACCCCCTCACCCCCAATAAGTCAGTACCCCTAAGACCTTCCTACGTGAAAACTTGGGAGCTGCTGCTGGAGATGCCTAATAGCTTTGGTGTTGGTATTAGGAGACCTGCACATCCCACATCGGTGCAACACTTTGCCAGCTAAGTTCAAAAAACTGCTGGTGCCAGGGAAGATTCAGCACATTCTCTGCACTGGAAACCTTTGCACCAAAGAGAGTTATGACTATCTCAAGACTCTGGCTGGCGATGTCCATATTGTGAGAGGAGACTTCAATGAGGACATACACATAAATTTGAAGCATTTGAGCATGAAAATAAATTCTACATTAATCCAGGTTCTGCCACTGGGGCATATAATGCCTTGGAAACAAACATTATTCCTTCATTTGTGTTGATGGATATCCAGGATTCTACAGTTGTCACTTACGTGTATCAGCTAATTGGAGATGATGTGAAAGTAGAACGAATCGAATACAAAAAATCTTAAAGCCAGGCCTGTCCTGTTGATTTTTCTGCTGGGCTTTTTTTTTTTTTTTCCATTCCCCTGTTCAACTCAAGTAATTAAACATTTAAGAGCCACAAAATTGTATCACTTTTATAATATTTTGCAGTAAAATATACTGTCTTCTGTTAATACAATTTTGGAGCTTCTTGTAAACTATAAGATTATATTTAGTTTAACTATATGATTTCTATGAAAAAATGTTCACCACACAGTAAATGGTCACACGTTAAAAAAAAAAAAAAAAGAAGAGATCCTGATGCTGGGAAAGATTGAAGGTGGGAGGAGAAGGGGACGACAGAGCATGACATGGTTGAATGGCATCACTGTCTCAGTGGACATGAATTTTAACAAGCTCTGGGAGATGGTGATGGACAGGGAAGCCTGGCCTGCTGCAGTCCATGAGATCGCAAAGAGTCAGATACAACTGAGCGACTGAAGAGATAGTCGCTTTACAGTGTTGTGTATAATGAAGTAGATCTGCTATATTGAGCCTCCATCCCTGAGTGTGACTGGTGAGGCAAAGTGAATGCAGTGCCTGAAGCAGAGATGCCCCACGATAACTGACAGTTCATGTGCCCTGACCTCCCAGGAGCGCTGGAGTGTCTCAGTGAAGCAGTATCCTCTTCAGTTAGTTACATGGGGCTCCGCTTTCTGTCACTTTGCTCCAGTTTTCTCATTAGCATTTCCACGGAGAGTGATTTCATTATGAACTCAGACAGACTCAACTCCCAAGCCCAGAGAGTAAGAGGCCTTGTCACAGCTCTACCTCTGGGGCTGGCATGTGGCCCTGGTTTGAGGGATCCCAGCAGCAGGCAAAGGGGAATAGTCCCAGGCCACCCGCAGATCACCAGAGCTGGAGTGGGAGGAGGCACACAGAGATTTGGGGGTACCCACGGGAAAGTGGGGTTTATATTCTGCCCTACCCCACCCCAGATGACCACTGAAGTGTGAGCCCAGGCCCTGGGGTGGTCAGTGCCTGCAATCGTGGTCCTCTGTAAGGAGAGGGTATGGCAGGGCCTTTGAGGCTGACTTCTGGCTCCTCCTCCATCATCTGAGGTTTTTTGTTTCCCTCATCTTGAAGGGACCAGTCACTCCTCCTGAACCCTGGGGAGAGTTCAAGGAGCTATCACACAGGAAGGACCTGGCGTCATGCCCAGCACACAGTAGGCAACCAATTAAGACTCTGTCCTCCCCTACTCCACTCATCTCCACCAAAGCATCTTGCACCTCCTGGGCCTCGTAAACCCTCATTTAATTGGGTGAGACTCAGCTCTCAGGCTGCCCAGCTGGCAGAGTCTGATTCTCCCCTGCCACCTCCTACCTGCACAGGATGCCTTTTCAGTGCCCCAGACACCCTCTGTGTTGACTCAAGAAATTGCACGGAGATGCTCTGTCTTCCAGAAACTTCCCTCATTAAAATGTATCCTTCCAGCATTCCACTCCCTCAAGGTTTGACAAAGAGACTAGGAATACTCAATAAGCCATTTCAAGCCTCCAAGGGCCGTAGCCTTGCACTTGACCTAGTCCCTGCAGCATCTGTGTTTTAACCCAAAGGAGGAACAGGGTAGGATTTTAGCCGCTGTGGAAAAGCAAGAGGAAAGCTGTTTTAGCATAGTGGGGGCAGCAGCTGCCCCGTGCTCCTCTGTCTACACCACAGAGATGCCACTTTCTGCCCAGGGGATGGTCTGTTAAGACCAGAACTGAGTACTGGGCTCCACTGTACAGATGAGGAAACTGAGACCCAGCCAGGGATTCAACTCACACAAGGGCACAGCTAGGGGATGTGCAGTGCCTTGAGTGGGGACTCAAGTCAGGTCTGTACCCCTCAATGCCTGTGTGGGTCACAGCAATGACTCATGATATGCAGCCCCTTCTCAGCACTTTATATGTGTCCTCTCATTTAATCCTCCAGTGACTTTATAAGAGAAAGGTTGTTATTAACCCCACTTCACAGAGGACACAGCTCAGGGGACATGACTGCTAAGGGGGTGGAGCCAGGCCACTGCTGTGGAGTCCACAGTCTTACCCTGACCCCCAAGGAGGGAAGAAAAAAAGGTCTAGATCTTGTTCCTAGAAGTTCAAATTCAAGTTCCATCCCTGCCACTGTGTATCTTGTATATCCTTGTATAAGACACACATCCCCTCTGAACTCCCATCTCTTTTTCAGTGAAAACCAAAGAAGGGACTCTGGAGTTCTCCCAAGCTCATGGAATGGCTAATATTCCATAAATTGGGAATGGGGGGGGGGGTTAATGTCCTTCTCACCAGACAGCAAACGGAGTTGGCTGTGCGAGTTTAGATTGTCATGGCTTCTGTAGTTTGAACAGCTCCCCCCACTAGACCCAGGGGGTTCCATCCCCAGGAGGAGGGGAGGGGAGGGGTATCAGTGAACATGTCGGTCCCTGACCCACCACAGAGCCAGAACCTCCCTGTGCTGGGGATGCCCTGGCACCTGGGGACCTGAGAACTCTGCTTCATCTGCCATCCAACAGCCAGTGTGGGTCCCTGCACAACACCCTCCCCTCCCTTGAACTTTCTCAGCAGAAGTTCCCCCACAAGAAGCAGAGCATCTCTGAGGCAGGTGTTAGAAGGTTCATTTCTCTTCATGTGTCTTCCGTGGTGGCCTGAGCCAAGCCTCACTGCTCCTGCGAAGCCAATTCCTGACCGCCCATCAGCCAGAGCCAATTCCTCTGTCATTAAAGTTATAACTGTTAATTTGAATTATTATCATTGTAGCCATTTACTAGATGCTCAGCTCAGCTCCAAAGTACTTTTTAACTAACCTTCGCAATCACTTGATGAAGTCGGCTCTAATACCTTCTCCACCTGGCAGCTGAAGAAACCCAGCTTTTGAGAGACAAAGCGATGATCGCAAGGTCACACAGCCAGTAAAGAGAAAAGCCAGGATTTCAGTGCAGCTAAAGCCTCAAGGAAGATAACTGGACATTAGTGTCTTGGGACTGGCGAAGTTGGCAGGAGAGGTGCGGAAGGCTCTGCCCTTGCTGGGGAGAACCCTGCAGGCAAAGAAAGGACAGGAGCCCCAGGGATACTGAGGTTCACCCAGAATCTAAAAGAGAAGAAAGGCAGGTGGGAAGACTAAGTTCCAAACTGCTGGCTCTGAACCAATTTTTTGCCCCAACTCCGTATCCCATACACACTAGCCCTGAGATTCTAACACAGGCCTCGGCAAACTTCTCCCATGAAAGGCCAGGCAGTGAAGATGTTAGCACTCGGGAGCCATATGGTCTGGGTCAAAACAGATTTGATAGCAAAAAAGCAACTGTAGACAACGTGCAAACAAATGGACTAGGTTTCAATAAAACTTTATTTACAAAATCCGTTAGCTGGCTGCATTCGGCCACTGGCTGTAGTTCACCAAGTCCTAGTCTAACAAACCTTTGATGCTTTTATACAGGGAAGGGGGTGATGGGGGTAACTTCAGACAATGAGTCAGTGGGGGACACAGATTTCAAATGCAAAGTGGGGGAAACTTTCCTGATGTTTCTCAAGCTACACCTAGTGAGCTGGAATGTGGGGCTTCTCCCATCATGTCTTGCCTCTCCTGATAGGGTTTGCAGGGTCCTGGGGGCTGAAGAGAGACTTTGGGGGTCTCTGAGACCCCAAAGTTCAAATCTTGGCTCTGCAAGATTTGCTCACACACCCCAAGTTGTGTGATCCTGGGCAGATTGCTCAGCCTCTGTGTGCCCCCTTTTCTCCAGCAGAGATGGAAGCTGGACCTCTAGTATGCTGTGAGGATTATGTCTGTAAAGTGCTTAGCACAGTGGTGGCACATAAGAGGTACTAAGTGAACTGCAGTTGTGATCGTTGTGACCGGTGTGAGTGACTGAGTGTCTGTGTCTCTGGGTCGCAGTAGCTGACCCCACCTTGGCCACACTGACTTGCAGTGGGTGTCTCCCCAGCTGCACAGGCATCCGGGAAGCTGAGCGATTTGGAACACCCCCCGGGAGGGCCTCCAGCATCACCCGGGCAGGGAAGGAGGAGAACAGTGGTGGGATCAAGTACAAGGCTGGCCGGGTAGGTCACTCCGTGTATTTTCCTGGGGGTCCCGCAGCCTTTGTGTTGTCTGGGCCCATGTTACCCTTTTCCAGCTCCCCCTGTGGAGCAGTGTTGATGGACCAGGTCACACGCACAGCTGGGAGGAGGGCCCTGGAAGTCACCTTCAGGGGTACACATGATGGTTAAGACACACTCAGCCTTGTGGGGCTTTTGACACTGTGTCTCAAAGTGCAAGTCTCACCTGCCTACATAAGACTCACCTGGGCGGCTGCTTAACGTGCAGACTCCAGGACCCACCTGGGCCTCCTGACACTAGGGCCTCTGGGGCGAGGGGGACCTGCATGCTGCCAGCCTGCCCAGAGGGTTCCAATGCACCCCAAACTCTAAGGGCCTTAGATTTGGAACTCCAGTGGCCTGAACAAGGGCAGCGGATGAGCCTCTGGTGCATGAGACCATGCTCAGTTGGGCCTCAGAGCGACACACATTCTTAAATGGAGGTGTGAGTGTAGACACAGACAGCAGAAGTGGGTAATTCAAAATTCTTCCATTCATTCAGCTGACAGTTTTGGGTACTAAGTGCGTCCCAGACATGTCCTGAGCATGGGCGATAAGCATGGATAAATGACCATCCTCACCGTTAAGATGCTTTCAGTATAGAATGTACCTTCCCACTTGTGGGTCCTATCACCCCCAAAGTGGTCAGAATTGGTTTTCAGTGGGGAGGATGCAGAAAGTCTTACTCTTTTTTATGTGTAAAGCACAGATATACACATGGCACATATACACATGCACAGAGGCCCTATGGTATGAAAATTTCATGGTGGGGGTGTGATTAGGGAAAAAATATGTAAAAGGTCATCTTTTTAAAGGGGACAATAATGGGAAAAAAGGTTAAGAAACACTGGTCTGGAAGAAAGGCAGTCAAATAAATAAATAATTACACAGCGCTGTCACGACTACTCCAATAGACATCTGTTGAAAATAAGAGAGAAATATTTACTGCGGGTCCACCATGTCTGATAATAATAGCTTCTCACTGCTAGTGCCTTGAGGCTTCCCATGTGGCTCAGTGGTAAAGAGTTCGCCTGCCAATGCAGGAAACACAGGCTGGATCCCTGGGTCAGGAAGATCCCCTGGGAGAGGAAATGGCAACCCACTCCAATATTCGTGCCTGGAGAATCCCATGGACAGAGGAGCCTGGCAGGCTACAGTTCATAGGGTTGCAAAGAGTTGGACACAACTGAGCTTGCACACATGGCGTGGCCAGAACCTTGTTATGTGCTTCCCAGATGGGATTTCTACTCTTTGCAAAAACTCCGAGAGAAAGGAATTACTAGTTCTATTGTGTAGCTGAGAACACTGAATCTTAGAGAGGGCGGGTGACTTGCCTAAGGTCACACAGCTGGGACGTGGCAGAGCAGGTATCCAAACCCCAGTTTCTGAGTCACCAAAACCCACACTTTTTCTGCAACGTCTAGAATATTTCTTCTTGACCTGGGAATGCAGTCAGACCTCATACCCGCACATTCTCACCTCTCATCCTGCTAAGGAGGAAGAGAGAAACTTTGATGGATAATCAGAAAGACTATACTTGTCCTCACTCTTGGCAACCAACTGGTTCCTTCAGGTTGGGGATACAACATAAGGTTAACTCACAAAAACCTCCTCTCAGTCTCCCTGAGCAATGGAGTATTATTACTCATAGAAGAAGCAGAGTGGGTAGGTAAGTTACTCAAGGACACACAGTAATTGGAGACACCACATTTCTCAGATCCAAAAACATTCAATTCTTTTTTCTCTTCTTCCTGTCCTTTGTTCTCCTTCCTCTCTTCTCAGCTGCCCCTGGGAAAAATAGGAAGGGGCTTCAGCAACAAAGACCCTGATTTCCATGATGACTATGGCTCTCTTCAAAATGAAGATTGCGGAGACGAGGACTCCCAGGGCAGGCCGGAGCAGTGCCGTCTGGAGGGCTTCAATGGCCTGGAGGTCACCAACGTGTAAGGAGCAGATGCTCCACCAGACCCAACACAGAGAGGCCCGGGGAGGAAGGACATCCCGGGACCGTCACCACTGTACATAGTCATCTCGGCCTGAGGATGCTCCTCTGGTCCCTGGAAATCTCAGCAGGCTGCCGTGACTTTGAATGGGATCCTGACGGAACGAGGGGGCACCAGCCTGCCTGCCTGGAGCGGACTGAAGACTTCCCTGCTCCCTGGAAGAAGACTAGCCTGAAGGACCAATCAGGGTGCCCAGCACCTCCATTATCAAGGCTCCACCACTGAGTGACTCAGCCACTGAGCAGTCCAAGTGATCCTGGGAGCCTTGAACTAAGCCTCCTGGGTATAAAGAAGCACAGGGTTCCCCAAGATACCATCCCAAGAGGAGCAGGTAGGACTCTAGTGAGATACACAGAGCCCAGTGGTGACGATTCCAGGAGCTTGCAAAGCTGGGGGTTCACCATCCTCATGTGGACCCTTCCAGCCAGCCTGGTGGTGGTCTCAGCTCCCACATACATGCCCTCCATGACCGAGAACTTAGTTTCTGACTTGGGTCGTTGAATCTCCCTTGGGAGAATGCAAAACAGGAAGGTCATTCAAATCTTAAAAGCCTTGTGTCATGTCAGCGTGGATGTGTTGAAGGGCTACCCAGCCCCTTGCCTGGGGAGGGATGGCGATGATCCCTGTAGAGGTGGGGCTGAGCAGCAGCCTTCCTAGGAAGTGTGGATACCCCATCATCTGGATGAAGGACATCGTGTCAACAAGACTGGGGATGACTGAGTTCGGTCTGTGACAACTTATCCCAAGTGTGACCGTAGAGCAGGGAAATGCTTGTCTTTGTGCACCCAGCAGACCTTGTCACCTGACACACAGGTGTGCTCACCAGTGCCCTAATGGAGCTGAGGCTCACCAGTCGCTAAGGTGATGGAGAGGACCCCCAGCCTTCTTCTTGACTCTGCTGCTGTTTTGCTGTGTGGCTTATTCCCAGTGGCCTCACCTCTCTGTGCCTCAGCATCTTCATCTACAATATTTCTGGTTCCCTCCTGGGAATGTTGTGAGGATTAACACTTGCTAACGTCTGTAACATTTGGTACCCTCTCAGGAGACAGGTGGGAAGTTATGGGGTCTGGGATGGGTGTCTCATTTCCCATTTACAACACAGAATTGACACTGTACTCACTCTCTCCAGCTGTTTTGGTTGGAGCAATGAGCACAAGGAGGGCAAGGCATGTTTAATGTGCAAGCTCTCTGGGGCCCCCACAGAGCTGGACCCCCAAAAGAGGAAAATCCCACAGCCCTTGAAAACCAGTTTGATTCCTGTGTTCAGACTTGAATTTATTGACCTCATTACTGAAAAATGATTAGGGATGGACAGACAGTATTGGGGTTCCACTTACACTTTGGTTATCAAAGCACATGATTCATTTGGAACCACGATGTTCGACTTCCAATGAGGCCTTTGGCACCGCCAGTCTATAAAAGGTTGGAATTTCCAAGACTGGAAGCAGGGGTCGGCCTCCAAGAACCGTCAAAGCACCTGTTCTTCAACTCAATGGATGATTTCCCCGTGAGGGAAAAGCACAAACCTAGGCCCAATGAGCTTAAGAAATCCTCCTCCCTGAGGCTGAAGACCATTATATTCTAAACTTAACACAAGCACAGCTTTTCTTACCATCGGAAACCAAATGCCTATTTGGTAGACAGGCGATGCCCACTCTGGTCTGAACTTTTGACCTCCTAGGGACACATGTCTGATTCCTAGGGACACATGTCTGATTCCTGGGCCCAAGGAGTGAGGCTCTGGAACCTGACTTGGCTTTGCTGAGGCTCCAAATCCACTATCTTTATGACATTCAGCCACACATGTGGGGTTTGAGGCTGCAGTGCCCACAGCCCAGAGAGGAGAGTATAACCTCCCTCTAACCTGATGCCACAGGTCACTCCCAGGCCAGCATCCAGGCTGGGTGACAGGGGTGCCAGGGTCTGCCTCTCAGGAAGCAGCAAACCTGAACGGCAGTTTTTCTCACAAGGTGAGCAGGAATGGCAGATGGGTCTGCCTGAATGCAGGTCTGATTATATGAAACCAATGCATTGTTCCACAACTCAATCCCACTGGGGACAAGATGGGCAAGTGGACAATTGGGGCGGGTCACTGGAAGGAATGGCATTGCCCGAAACATTCTCAGCATTCGGCTAGCAGGCCTGGGGCAATATGGGCGACCTTGAATGTGCCTTATAGTCCAAATGATGCTCTAAGTTCACATTCTCGCTTGCCCAATTCTTTGAATCCCTGGCAGTCAGGTGAGCATTTGGAACTGACTTTTCAACATGAGGATGGGTTGGCTGGTAAATGAACAAGCTCCACACAGTTAAATCAGGAAAGCTCTGTCTGCGGGAAAAATCCTAAATGTCAACTCTGCTACAAGGGCAGGCAAGAAGAGCAGGGCATGTGGACTCGGCAGAGAGGTCCTGGTAGCTGGTTAGCAAAGGCTGGCAGTGTGGCCACCCGTGGAACAGTGACTGGCCACATCCTGTCCAAACAGCCTGGGTCATGGTCTTGGTCCTTTAAGGGTGGTGACATGACATCTGGACCTGGGAACCATGTGCATGTGCTTCTCTGAGAGGTGCTGTCACCTGTGCTCATGGGTGCTGGCCCTATCCAAAGAGATAGTTGCTGCCAGAAGTTGGGGAGAACCAGGGTAGGCAGAGACACCCCATATTCCTCCTAGTAGCTGGGGGCTGGAGCCATAAGAAGGCTCAGCTTTCCAACCCTGTGCGCCTTCGAAAGGCTCCCTTGTCCTTTGCTGAGCAGGGCCTTTCTCCCAGAAATCTGTCTCACCATTGCAGTCATTGGACCCCAGGGTGCAGGAGACAGGGAGACGCCACAGGAGTACCTTGACCAGATGAAGTTGAGGGGAAGGGCTCTCCCCACAGCCCAGCCAGCATGGAAGGGGCCTCTGAATAGTGACCCCACATCTTGAGGTCACTGAACAGGGCTGGGTCCAGCAGAATGGGATGATTTGGCAAGATGTTCCAAGCCTTGCTCTCCCCCTTCCCATCACAGTCCATATGTTCTGGACACTATCACTTCTGCTCTGCCCTTCGAGGTTCCAATGGGCTTCTGGCAGTTGAGTGGCAAGAAAAAGAAGCCCTGTGCAAAATAGCATCTTCTGACACTAACATCCTTCCCAGCAGTTGGCTGATGAGAAGAATTTCCTGAGCCCTAACACCCCCAGGAGTTTGCGGCTGCAACGGAAACAAGTTGTCCATGAGCTAGGATGATGTTCCTGACATTTAATTGCTGGTCATGGCCCCAAATGTCTTCCCAAGAGTGAATTTTAACACTGTAACAATAAATACTACTTCACAGCACTTCATTGATGAGCTGGCCTTTTCCTCTGTGTGGTCTCATTCAGTTTTCTCAACATTCTCTTTGACAGGGTGGTGGGGGGCTGTGGGTGGTGATTAACCCATTTTATAGATGGAGAAACTGAGGCTAAGGTTGAGAGGCTTGTCCAGCTCCATAAAGCTAAGACATTACAGAGTAGGACTCAAACTGAGTCACCCACCTCCAAATCCTGGACTTGTTCCTCCCGGCGGAGCACCCCTACCCCCACCTTCCAGCATAGGACTTACAAATAGCTGAGGAGGCCTTACAAATAGCTGTGAAAAGACAGGAAGTGAAAAGCAAAGGAGAAAAGGAAAGATATACCCATTTGAATGCAGAATTCCAAAGAATAGCAAGGAGAAATAAGAAAACCTTCCTCAGCGATCAATGCAAAGAAATAGAGGAACAATAGAATGGGAAAGACTAGAGATCTCTTCGAGAAAATTAGAGATACCAAGGGAACATTTCATGCAAAGATGGGCTTAATAAAGGACAGAAATGGTAGGGACCTAATGGAAGCAGAAGATATTAAGAAGAGGTGGCAAGAATACACAGAAGAACTGTACAAAAAAGATCTTCATGACCCAGATAATCACAATAAGGCTATGGTTTTTCCAGTGGTCATGTATGGATGTGAGAGTTGGACTATAAAGAAAGCACCGAAGAATTGATGATGCTTTTGAACTGTGGTATTGGAGAAGACTCTTGAGAGTCCCTTGGACTGCAAGGAGATCCAGTCAGTCCATCATAAAGTATATATGTCCTGGGTATTCATTGGAAGGACTGATGTTGAAGCTGAAGCTCCAATACTTTGCCCTCCTGATGCGAAGAGCTGACTCATTGGAAAAGACCTTGATGCTGAGAAAGATTGAGGGCAGGAGGAGAAGGGGATGACAGAGGATGAGATGGTTGGATGGCATCATTGACTCGATGGACATGGGTTTGGGTGGACTCTGGGAGTTGGTGATGGACAGGGAGGCCTGGGTCGCAAAGAGTCGGACACGACTGAGCAACAGAACTGAACTGAACTGAACTACCAGGTGGCAGGATTCAAAATGGATGCATTCTGATGCATTTTTTCCTTCAGGAAAAGTCTGGTGCCTCCTGTCAGAGTGCTGCCTTATATCCTGGGGCCCCATTGTCGGGGGGGAAACAAGTCACCACATCCTTGGTATCATTTGCTTTGCTGTGTCCCTCCTCCAGGGAATTCATATTTCCAGATGATCAGAATAGATTTTTTTGTGGTTATTTCAGTGGCTCAGGCTGCTACAACATACTACCAGTGACTAGGGGTCTTAAACAACCAACATTCATCCCTCAGGGTTCTAGAGACTGGGAAGTCCAAGGTCCAGGTGCCAGCCAATTCAGCCAGTGGTGAGCCCTCTCTTCCTGCTTGGCAGACGGTGGCCTTCTCACTGTGTCTTCGTATCTCATTGTGCCCTCACGACTGGAGGGAGGGAGAGAGAATGCAAACTCCCTGACCTCTCCTCTTACAAGGGCACTAATCCCATCATGAGGACCCCACCCTCATGACCTGGTCACCTCCAGGAAGTCCCCACCTCCTAATACCAACACCTGCAGTTAGGGTTTATCAATATATAAATTTTGGGAGGATGCAGACATTCAATCCGGAGCAGTGATGGAACACACAGACTTCATTGTGCACCTTGGAGGGACAGGTGTTTCTGAAATGCAGATGCTGACCTGGGAAGTCTGCAGTGGGGCCTGAGGTTCACATTTCTAATATACTCCCAGGTTGTACTTTTGGCTCAGAGACACACTCTGTGTATTAAGATCCTGGCTGACAGCTGGGCCCTCCTGGTAAAGCCCAAATCACAGGAGGTGGGGGCTGGCCTGAGGGTTCCACCCAGGGGTCCAACTGGCCCTGATGGAGCTCCAACCCAGTGAACCCAACTGTTCGCTTCTCCCAGGACAGGAGCCCAGCCTGACGCCCCAGCTCATTGCTAAGTTTAGGCAGAGGGCGGACACTCAGGAAATGTCATCGAACAGGGAGGGTTTGGAAGAGTTAGAAGACACTGTGAGATGGGCCTGGGCACAGCCAGCTTCAGCAAGCTGACCATGCACACTGTATTTAGTGAATCCTCTTGGGTGCCATGGCCTGTTCTTGGTGCTAGGGATACAAGGGTAGGACTCATATAATGTAGCGAAGGAAGACAAGAACCTCATCCATGACTGGGGTGACTGATGTCAGATGTGAAAAGTGGTAGGTGTGATGGATGGGTGGAGGTCCCAGAGGACTTTTGAGCTGAGACATAAGTTTTGAGCAGGAGCCAGCCCTGCAGAGATCTGGGGGAAGAACATCCAGGTAGGCAGTTGTTAGTCACTCAGTCGTGTCCAACTCTTTGTGACCCCATGGACTGCAGCACACCAGGCTTTCCTGTCCTTCATTATCTCCTTGAGTTTGCTCAAACTCTGTCCTTTGACTTGAGTGATGTCACCCAAGCATCTCATCCTCTGTCGCCCCCTTCTGGATGGAGACAATGTGAATGAAATTCTGCCCAGCCTCTGCACAAAAATTACCGTTCAGCAGGTAAGAGAGTAGTTTTTTCAGTAGTCATGTATGGGTGTGAGAATTGGGAAAAAAAGAAAGCTAGCGCCAAAGAATTGATGCTTTTGAACTGTGGTGTTGGAGAAGACTCTTGAGAGTCCCTTGGACTGCAAGGGGATCAAACCAGTCCATCCTAAAGGAAATTAGTCCTTGGAAGTTCTGATGCTGAAGCTGAAGCTCCAATACTTTGGCCACTTAATGCGAAGAACTGACTCATTTGAAAAGACCCTGATGCTGGGAAAGATCGAAGGCAAGAGGAGAAGGGGATGACAGAGGATGAGATGGTTGGATGGCATCACCGGCTCGATGGATATGAGTTTGAGCACGCTCCAGGAGTTGGTGATGGACAGGGGAGCCTGGGGTACTGCCGTCCATGGGGTCGCAAAGAGTCAGACATGACTAAGTGACTGAACTGAGGGAAGAGAGGCATAAATCAAATACTCCTGAGCAGCGTGAAATTGTAACCTTGAACAAGAGAGCCAAGGTAACTGGTAGTCAGAGAGCTTATCTTATGAGGATTTAACGTAGTTGAGAGGAAGTGAGGGCTGGACAGAGGGGAGTTCAGCAGAGGACAAGGGTAGAGGATGTCAGACAGCAGGTCAGCACGTGCAAAGATCCTGTGGGAGGAGCACAGTAAATAGGGCTGAAAAAAAAGGCCCATGTGTGGACTTCCCTGGTGGTCCAGTGGCTAAGACTTCCCATTCCTAATGCAGGGGCCCCAGGTTCAATCCCTGGTCAGGGAACTAGATCACACATGCTACAACTAAGACCTGTCACCGCCAAGTTTTATAAATATTTAAATAGATTTTTTTTTTTAAAGGCCCACATGGCTGGAGGGAAGGGAGCGAGAGGCTCATCCTCTGAGGGGCTCAAGGGGCATCAGGCAGCAGCAGAGCCTCTGCTGGGTCTCTGTCCACCCCCAGGGCACTTGAGCTGGC